AAAAAAAAAAAAAATTTAGGTATAAGACCACCTTAGAAGGACCAAAAAAATATCATCTCACTTCTCACTCAGACTTCAAACTCGTTTTAATATACATCTAATATCTATTATGTATTCATTCATTCATTCATTCATTCATTCATTCATTCATTCACTCATTCATTCATCCATTCATCCATTCATTCATGTATTTATTTTTCGATTACCCACAATACAATTGATTGTCTTTCAAAAGCGGGAAGAGCGACAGAACCCTTCCCTTTGAAACCATTTGGTGCCGAAGTTGCAAGTCATAAATCCTGCATCTTGATTGGCTAGTTGATGGGATCAAGAAAGATAACACCGCATCCCAATCGAGCGCCTGCGTTGCCAGTTCTCAGGCTCTCAGCTTTCGCCGGTCCAGTGCCTCGACCCAGGTCGTCCTCTTTCTGATGAATCTGGGAACAAAAATAATGAAGTCCTTATTCATGGCAGACGCTGTATTGGTTTTGAGGCACTGTACACCAGAAGTAAGACTCGAAACTAGTCGTGGTTTTGAGTTAACAAGTTACGCTATGTTTGCGGTAATTTTGGTCGGCATGTCGTTACCGTTATAGATTTATTTCTTTCGGGATTTACAGCAATAATCAACAGTGAAATGTCTTTGCTACTTTCGGACGGTCAATACCTTTAGGGGACATGGGCTGAGTGGGCGCCAGTCCTTTTGAACTTTACAGTATAAAGTCTTTTTATTCTGCCATTATTCAAAACAAAGATCATAAAAAATAACTATATTGGTAACTTAACGGTAACTTTAACATTAAGGGAACTATGTCACGGTTTGCGCATGCACAGGCATGCATCTTGAAAAGTTCAGCCTTAATGTTTTTCAAGTTCCTCATTTGTAATCCGCGTAAATCTTATCCATCCCTAACCATCCTTGTTCCTTTATGATTTATTATTAACTCTTTGGTGTTTTTCTCTCTTAGTAAACTACTATTTTCAGGTTTTCTCAAATTTAAAGCGAAATCAAAATATCACCACTGAGTTCTTTTGAGTTGCGTGATCATTGTCCCTGCCATCTCACCACAAATGCTCTTCCAATGACTGAATAGGGCCCGACCAGAGAAATCAAATTGTCATTTAACACTGTGTTGATTACTCCCAAGTAATCCGACATGAGATTTCCTAAGTCCCCAACATGGCTGTCAAAAGGAGAAAACAGAAATGTATCAGTTAACCTTACGACTATCTGAAGAGTCTCTTCCAGGTCAGCGGATGGGAGGAGTCAAGATTGTGCTCGTTTAACAAGCATTTTATGCAATCTGGTCCTCAGAGCCCGCGCATTTTTGGTCAGCAGCGGTCTTGGTGCTGACAAAAAGGATTGCGGCCTCTAGAAACGAGATAATAAAAGGTTAAGTCTGCATGCGAGCCAAGTGCCTTAAGGAACGATATTAGTACATTACGCCATTAGCTCCGCACCCATTTTTCTGACATTGCCCCAGTAATTATGCTATTTTTAAAAAATTATGCTAAAAATGCTTAGTAGAACAAAAGCATGTGCTAATTTATTATATGGCTCGTGTTTGTAGCCGATATAAAGAGCGTTCTGACTGGCTAATTCTAGGGCATTATTCTCCCGTAATGCTCACGGTCCGATTATTGGCCTGCAAAAGCAAAGCAAAAAGCCATATAATAAACAACTTATTAACCTCGAACAGTAGGTCTTTACGGGAAAATCTCAAACCTCGACCTTGCTGTGTTGACTGAGTGATAGCGAGGTCAATACGCCAAGGTCTCGGTCTGAGATTTTCCCGCGAGGACCTCATTCTCGGTTAATAAGTTGTTATTAAAATTGGTTTCTTTAAATTTCATACATGTTCAAAAAATACAACATGCATTGATTGAAGGAAATATGACTGTTAAAATTGTGACAGCAATGCTATGCCAAATGTGGTGTTAGTACAATCTCTTAGGCAAAGCCTACCCCCGGTGCCAGTGCTCCATTGCAAGAAGCCGGAGTATTGCTATTTTCCCAGGATGGTACTCCGATGTATCTATCGAAGACTACCCTCTTGCCCCTCAACATTTTTTCAGGTTGGCCTCACTGTACAGTTCATTCGGGCTAATTTATTCGGGTCGAGTGGGTGGGGGTGGGTTAGGAACCTGCTCTCATCCTGGGTGGAGAGAGGCACGGTGAGAGGACCATGATCACAGTCAGCTCTCGATTGCGACACAAGAGATGATTAAAAGATCTCAAATATTTGACCAAAGGGAAAGAATGACAATTAGTCATAAACAGGAACATCGGACCAAAAAGAACAATTAAGGCTTCCTTGACGTTGTCTGACGTAACTGCAGGTGCGCTACCGTATTTGGTCTTGAGGTCCACCATGGGTCTTTTTAAATGGATTGTAATGACCTCCAGTACTTTGACACCCTGAAAGATAATTCGCGGTGTTTTCATCAGATGGTTATTTACCACATGGTCGGGACCCAGGAGCCCGTCTCTCGAAAGCCCCGGAAACTTTTCGGGCCCGCAAAGCCATTTTTAGATCATCTGTATCTAAAAAGCGAGAGGTGTATACGCCTGAAACTCCTTGTATGAAGGGAACCTCTGTACACATTAAGGATATGTGAATAAAACAGCTCTGTAATCATAAGGTTTGAGATTTTCCCACGGCTTTCTGGGTGCGAAAACTTTTCGGAACCTTCGAGAAACGTCCGCCAGGCTGGGAGTCCATCATTTTCATTCTAGTTTGAACACTGACTGAAGGTCGAGGATGCTCGTTGTCTCGCTTAGGGATCGGATACGTGTAAATCCAGATTCTGGTCTCACTTAGGGTGTTTATGACGAAACGCCACTATTTTTAACTGTCAAGTTATCTTTTAGGGTTGCACTCGAAAAAATAATAAAAAGAACCGCTGTTTGTCCGTTTTAAAGTCATATCTTGTAGGGATAAAATAAAGCTAGAACCACGCCTAGATTGATCTTTCGAGCGTTTTTTATTTTTCCAATGCAACATATATTTCTCTTCTCTTATTTTTTTTATAATACTGACGTAGATTTATTCTGTAAATCCCCAAGGAACATGGGATCAAGGTTGCACTCATTTGCCCATATAACTGCACGAGGAACCAGCTTTGCTTACCGTCAGTGACAGTGTCATTTCCCTCATGGATATGGAAACCATGTGTGGAACAGGGAGGAAGACCCGAAATATAGACAGACATGCAAGTAGGGCCACCAAATTGCTGAAAAAATAAACGGTGAAAGTGTACTTAAGTTATTCACAGTAGAACCCAGCTGAAAACTCCAAAACGGGGAAAGATTCGAGTCAGTTGGCGCGCGGGATTGTTGTTGAATTTCAAGCTTCTGTTGATGATTAATAAGGTAAATTGTTTTTCGTTTTCGTTCATACACAATCATAAGTCATTGTTATACATGCAATTACAAAACTGATGCAAAAGTTAACGAGTTCCCATAACCTGCTACAGCAATTAATGATTTCAATGCGAGTGCAATCAAGGATCTACACTACGACTGATATTTGAGAGCCTTTTGGAGGCGCAATTTCAAAGAAGTTTCAAATATCACTATTAACGTTAATCCTTAATTATAGCTCTACACTTGATACATTGTACTGCACTGCAAATTGAAAATCAACGGTAAATTTGCCTGCTCTCAGCCAATCACAATTGTAGTAATTTTCAGCGGTCAGTGGCTACACAAATTTATATTGACCAGGGCTTCGCGATCGGCTGGCAGTTAGTGGAAAGACCGCTGGTTTAGATAAATGATCTGGGTAGGATTGGTCTTAACCTCGTTCCCATAGTCTTTCCAAGATGGCAGACCATGAGAACGAGGTAGGATTGACTGCTCCAGTCATCTCACCGATTGCGTCATTTTAACTTTTCCTACGACTGGAGTGTCTGTGCCGGCAGGAGGAGCAGCATTACGGGTGATGTAACTTACAGCTGTTACTACACATCCATCTGAAAAGAACATAACGAAGGTTCAATTTCAAATAAGTTATTTTACTGATAAAATGATAGGTTATGAGACTATTTAACAATTAGATCATGAGCGTAGAAATCGAGAGCGAATATGCTACAGCAGGTACCCTTTCCAACATACGTAAAACATAAAAGAATGTACCCCTTTACTACACATGATACCAAGAGACTATGATCTGATCATCGTTTCCTGATGATACATATGCTTAAAGACAGAATACAATCCCCTCTGCTAGGTTACTTGTATAGCAGAAAAAGTTATAACTCTTGTAGCCAAATTTCTGCGAAGAGGTTCTCTCCAGTATTTATAACCTTTTTCTAGTACTTTGATTTACTATAGTTAAATAAAAAAAAAGTAAATAAGTTACTACCCTTTCGATTCAAAGTTTACCTTTGTCACTCTTTCAAGTGCTCATTTTTTTTCGAGTCTAGCCTGCCGCATACTATCTGGGTGGAGAGGCCATCCACTGCGAATGGACTCTCTCGAGATAGCCCACTGTACGAGTATTCCCCACCCTCCACTCCCAGGGGAAATAACAAAGCCACCTGCTAGTTGAAATCTATACATGACAACTACCTTTCAGCTGATCACAGATCTTCGAAGAAGCTGTTGCAACCATCACCAATCCCAAGGCAAGGAGGAGCGTTGCGTTGTACATGTCTGTTATAAAAATGGTAGAACATTGAAATGATGAAAGAACATCCGGAGCTCAGTACCAAAAAGCAATTAGCTAACTCCGTCGGTGAGCAACTAAAGTTCCCTCCCCCTCTTGGGCACCAAGGCCCCACCAAACAGCGCCTTCTTCAGCCCACCGGTTAATTAAACATCAGACTCTGGTATTGTCTGTATTCTTGGTGTTAAAGTTAAACAACTTGGCCAGCTGTATTAATATACCGTAAATCCTCGAATTAGCGCCCAGGGCGCTTATTTCAAATTTACAAGGAGAAGACGGGCGGGGGCGCTTATTCGAGGGGGCGCTAATCGAGGGGGGGTGGGGGGCGCTTGTTTAATTTTTCCCAAATCGTAGCCTAACATGATCATTTTTTAATACATCATCTGCACGTAAAAAACAACATAAACTGTTTATCGACTTAAAAAGCTGATCCTAACCTTTAAATCACGGCACCGTTAGTACTTGCAATTTTTTCTCCAAACTTAACTTGTTCACAAACTGAAACAATGGACAAATCTGATACTTCAGGACGAAAACTATACATCCTACGTTGTCTCATTACTACTCCACAAAATGGGGGGAGGGGAGGGGGGCGCTTATTCGAGGGGGAGCGCTTATTTTAAATTTTGGCCGATTGGAGGGGCGCTTATTCGAAGGTGGCGCTTATTCGAGGGGGGCGCTAATTCGAGGATTTACGGTAGTCATATCTATCTCTGACAGCTACATAGAAAGCAATCGAAAGTATAAATAAAAGTTTTACATTTTAATTTCGAGCTGAACAGCAAGTATGCAACATAGCTCGGGGGTTTTGGCTCGCGAGCGCTTTGTTTCGCGACCGAAAATGACGAAGCCACGAGGATATTTTTCAACTTAACTATTATTCCCCATTGTCCTTGCGGCTACACAGTTACTCCGCTGCTGAAACAAAGCACTCGCAGACGAAATCCCACCAGCTATCCAGCTATTGACTAGATCTAAACTAGTCAAACAAGGGTTCTTCTTTTCTTCGCTCAAATCCTCTTTTGCAAGAACGCACTTTTAAATTTGAGAGCGCTAACAGTTGGTGTATAAAAAGCTAAATATGTTCATCGCAATTCCTTAAAGCTGGGTACGAGTTCAAAAGATCTCACTCAGTTCACGTGAGAAAGCAGTTCCGTTTTGCCAATATAACAATTTAAAGTAATGGAAGTTGAAAACGAATTATGCGAGTCTTACCTTGACGGCGAAATGGACCAAAGAAAAGACTGGTTTTATGACACATATGACCCGATATGTACAAAAGATTTGAATTAATTTAGTGAGGGTGCATTTAAAGTAAACCCCCTGGCATGTTTCCAGGTGAATCCAATGTCTGGTTCACTCAGGGTGGCCGCTCATAAACTGCAGGTTCCCCTAGAACATTACTGAATTCATTAAACGTAGCATATACCCTTTGTACAGTTGGATACATTTAAAGTGTCACGAAAGTAGCAAAAAAAATGTAGTGTTCATTTCTTTTTTTTAAGTCGCAAAGATACCTTTTTACGGTTTCTTGCACCAAGTTGCATGTAGTTGGGAGCAACCGTAACAAAAATTACTGTTATGGAGTATATGAAAAAAGTATGAAAAGTGTCAATCGATTAAATAGAATATGTAACAAATAATCGATCGTAAAATTTGAGCACCGAAATTATCTGTACGTTAGATTCGATCAATTAAACACTTAAGATATCAAGTGCATGAAAGAATTTTCGAATAAAATTTGATGGATATAGCCCCGCGGGAAAAACCGCAAACAGACCAGACAACTATCTATTTGCAAACAATTTATTAAAAAAGTGAACATGAAATAGTTGTACAAAAGCTTGAGTGGGTTGAAAATTTGATACAAAATTCGCTTTCTCGTGTGATTAATTAACTCTTATAGCTCATATTTCGGTTTAGATATAATTCAATTTAACGACCATTTTATGTAATCTATTCACTACATACAGTAACAATGATAAAGTCAACAAACAATGGATTTTCGTATTTCAATTTTCTTCATGTCATTCTTTAAATTCCTTGCTCTATTCCGTCAAACTTTTCCTTTGCATGACCGGCAGCCATTGACGCAAGACGTTTTCATACTCTTCCACTTATCGGGGTGACGTCTGAAGTAAAACGCTGATCCACCAATTACAATCACTATGATGATACACGTGACCACTATCCCAGCTATAGCTGCTTTGTCAGGCATGGTGCGAGCCACATAGATCCCTCCTGAAAATGGTCAAAATAAGATTTTTTCCGTCAGGAAATATTTACAATTAATCACTACAGCTTTATGGCAATCAAAGACAATTCTTACGGTATCAGTCGCACAAAATGATCTCCCCTACACCTAAAACTGGTTTTAATGCAGCTACCTTGAATAACCCGATGACGGTCTAGCACCAATCGTAATATCTTGGAAAAAAAAGTTTAATAATCCGAACGCGCCACTGAGAGGGTGATTCGAGTCTACGAGTTTCTACGTGCAAACACCTTCCAGAAACGTTTGTTGCCAAATCAGTAATTTCCTAGCCGCGTCACTGAAATTATCAATCATTAAATCTTCACTTTCAAAGGAGATAAAGACCGACTGCCGAATTTCTTAACAACACTGGAGAAGATGCAATACTGCCAAAGGCATTATTGTGATTTTCGGTGTGAGAAAAATGAACACATGCATAATTACCTTTATCAGTTTTCACAGTGGCGAAGCCATCCGAAACGGAAGAATCCACTTTGAACCAAGTTTTCAAGTCCATGTCCTCCGAGGAGCGATAAAATTGTATTGTGGACGCCGCGCTGGAGTCCACATTCATTCCAATCTGAAACTTCTTGTCTGTCTCTAACGTCTGTGGGTTCACAACTAAAAAGTCGCTGGCGTACCCATGGCCAATTCCCATCCTACCTCCTTTGTCATCGATCATTTTCTGGCCATCCTCCGCGGACATTAGCTCCAAGCTGATGGACTGTAGCTGCGGTAGAGACTCCGATTCAAATTTCACGAACTGGCCACTTAAAGAATAAAAATACCAAAAAAAAAGTAAATAAATAAATAAAAATAAATAAATAAATAAGAGTGGTGTTGCGTCACAAATTAAATAACAGCAAGTGAAACGCGGACATTTT